TTTATAAAATTCAAATTATTCCACTTGACGTACAATCATTAAATGAACAGCATTTCTACAGTCATTGTATTCTCTTTTTGCCATTTCGCTTGCTTTCATCCTGGAATGTAGTTTGATAATTTATTTTTACTGCAGTAACATTTTTGTTAAGAAAATAAAACACACTACTGTTACAATTTGATATTCTCCGAAGAACTTCAATATTTCAAACATTTTCTTCTTAACTCAGAAACCACCATGTATCCCGACAAAAACACTAGTATGTCCTACAATCTGTATTAGAATCCAATCCCATGGCTTCTGAACTGTTGCTGCTTCATTAACCAATCATGGGCTAACTAATCAAGCTAGCCATACCACTATCATTACTCTCTCAGTTAATATGGAAAAGCCTCAATGTCGACAGGCAACACAGGTAATATGTTATTTCTTTTAGTCAATGAGAGTGCAAGTTTTTGGTGACCTCGTGTAAAATAAAGATAAAAAGATAAATTGTCGGATTTGAAGCTCATTTCACGAAGAAACTTAAGTTAAGGTGACTTATGTCATAAAAATGACTTAAGTCAAATTTAAGTTCGACTTAAGTCATATCTTAAATTAAGTTTTCGCGTGAAACGAGCCCCTGATTGGTTCAGTCTTCGTTTTCACCAATCAGATCGGACAATTTATCTTTTTTATTTACCTTTTTGTCTTTACTTTACACGGAGTCGCTTTCAGTTAAGATACGCCAGGACTAACGAAGGAACGTTTTTAAGTGTCTCCTTGCTTTTCCAACGAACCATAGCGGGTTATAGGTTATCGATGATGCTAATTCCGAAGATGAATATGAGAGCTGCTCTTAGGGCTCCGAAGACCCGGTATTCTGGAAAACCAATTGTTCAGAAACTCTGAAAAACAACCACAACTTTTCTTAATGAAACATGCTTGTAGCCCGCACATTTCTGATTAAAATGAGACCTCTCGCAGCTCTACATGACCTTTCTTTGTAAAGTTACAGAATTTACAAGGAAAGCCCTAAATATTCATTGTCAACTCAAAGCTACAGAAATAAGAAATTAATTTAGGGCTGTCGTTGTAAACTCTATAACTTTGCAAAGAAAGGTCATGTAGAGTTGGAAGAGGTCTCATTTTAATCAGAAATGTGCGGGCTATAAGCATGGTTCATTAAGAAAAGTTGTGGTTGTTTTTCAGAGTTTCTGAACAATTGATTTTCCAGAAAACCGGGTCTTCGAAGCCCTAAGAGCAGCTCTCATATTCATATTCGATTCGGAATCAGCATCATCGATAATCTATAACCCACTATGTTTCGTTAATAAAGCGAGGGGCAAAAACATAAAAAGTCACAGTAAAAACGTGTCATCATGAAACTAATGTCACGTTTTAATTGTGACTTTATATATATTTTGTTAACGTTTCTTCTGTAGCTATGTCACATCCTAATGACAACTAAAAACGGATTTTCCGTGACAAGGTAAATTTGAAAACGAAACGCCCGTGGTTTTTTCACCTACTTTTCTCTGAACCACATACAAACGTTCGTCGATCATTGAGTAAGAAGGCCCGTGAAGTATGTAATCATGGGCTTTTCAACCTGGAAGTTCTCAGTCAGATCTGTAATTTTTCCGTGAAAATATGGATTAGAGTGCGTGAAAAATTACAGATCTGACTAACAACTTCCAGGTTGAAAAGCCTATGATTACATACTTCACGGACCTTCTTACTCAATGATCGACGAACCTTTATATGTGGTTCAGAGAAAAGTAGGTGAAAAAACCACGGGCGTTTCGTTTTTCAAATGTACAGTAATCGTATATTTTTCCTGTTGATTGCTGCATTCCTTTTTGCTACATTTTGCAGAAAGGTGGTGAACATTACAAGATACTACATAGCCGGAATGAATGGTACTGTTCACCGGAGCAGACAACTTTTTTTTCTGTATTGGAAGAACATCTTACATGGCTATCATTTAGTCCTTTCAGACAGTGTTGGCGACAGCTAGATCCAGTTTTGACCTCAGAGCAAACGTAAAAGTTGTTTCGTATTCTAAAGAAGTCACTTCTTCAACGTAGTTCATAAAATAACGAACGCAGAACAACAACGCTGAAGAAGAAAGTAAAACTCGTCGTTATTGATATTATTGATAACGGTTAATGACTCTTCATGGCTAAAGGTTTTTATCTGACACAAAGGAAAATGGCCTTTATGCAATTTATTAAGTAAAGTGACATTCTAGTATTTGCTTAATACCATAAACTAACTCGTTTGTCTGGCGGTCGGGCAAACAGACAGTTGTACCTCTAAGACTAAGACTGTTTATTCACGAAAAGTGAGAGAAACAGACAGTTGTACTTACAATTGTTACAGTTGTGTGATAAAAGGGATTAAGCCAATAAGATTAATCATCATGGCGAAATTAGTCCTGATCAGAAAAACGCGAAGCATAAATTTGAAAAGTGAAGTGGTCTGTAAAGTGGTCTTCTTCATTTTCGAAGTGAAAAACAGAGCAGGAAACGACTTTTACAAAGTGGAAGATCGCTTTGCTTTCGCAGAGACCACCAACCATTAGAAACACTGTCTAGCATTGTGATGACGCTGAAAATTTGTGTTTTGAAACGGGAAAAATGTGACTGCAAAAGTTGACGGCAAAAACGTTGAAAATAATATAACGTTTTTTTCCGTATGTCACGATAAAGCCATTCCATTCAACGTTAAAAAAGTTGAAGCGAACGGTAAAAGTGTGACATCCCGAAAAAGCAACATTTTTAATGTGACTTTGCCACGGATTTTACGTGACTTTTTTTTACAGTGCAGCGCAACACGAAAACCGTGACAGCAAGAGATGACAGTAAAAACGTTTAAAGTTAACGTTTTCTGCTAATTTCACGGTGAAGCCGTTCCATTCAGCATTAAATGAAAAATTAAAATCCGTGTGACGTTTTTTGGCAGTGCACTTTCAAACAAAAAAGAACAATATTTTTCTTGCATTGTGACATATCAGGCCCCTGTTTCTTAAAAAAACTTAAGTAGAAAATTTGACTTAAGTCAAACTTAAGTCCAAAAAAGTCTTTGTCTTTTTTGACTTAAGATTTTCTACTTAAGCTTTTTTAAGAAACAGACCCCAGAAAAAGTTTCTGACTATATGCACCAATTAAATTCCATCCTTGTACCTCTATTCTGTTCTCGCTCAAATCAAACTTATTGAATTCTGAGTCGGTAGCCCCTCTAGTATATTAGATTAATTAAGTAATTTATTCAGTTATAAAAATTTAATCAAATTCAGTGTTATTCGATAGTTCACTCTCAGAGTTTCTACCAAAGCAATGAAAGGATAAGCTAGTACTAAACTGTGTCCTAGTATTTAGTCCAAGCACATCTTAACCAAAGCTTTTTCAGTTTCTTTCAAATTCTGTCGGCGGCCATTTTCAGCAGGTAACTTCTAACAACAGCCATAAATGACGAAGCGTTTCGAAAAAAAACAATACAAATAAGAATAGTAATTTCTTGACAAATCGTTTTTTTCCCTACTCTTGCACTGAAAGAGGCAGGTTCTGATCTCTCTCATTCGCAAATAAAAATATTTTGCAGAGAACCTCAAAAGCTTCGGATAAGGTAAGAAGGACAAAGACGTTAAGAAACAGGGTAAAATCCGTGAAAAAGGTTTCGTTTCGAGTTAGTTTAAACTAGATGTATTTACTGTAGTATCCTCAGTCTAAAAATTATCTGAAAACTCAAAAACTTCAATCATCTATCTCCTCATGCATGTAAACAATGAGATAATAGAAATTACGTTCAATCGATGCTTAAAACACGTTTTATATCGGTTTAAACGATATTCGAAAACCCTTTTTAACGATCATTGAACGCTTTTGTATTGTTTTGTCATTTATACGTGTTTTGACAGCGTTTCAAACGAAAACAGTCCCACACTTGATTTAACTTTGATTTAAACGTTTTATTACCGTTGTCTAAGAATGATAGGTGAGGTTATTACTTAGCGGTCTTCCACTTTCACATCATCTACTGTTTTTATCTGCGTTTAAAAGGTGTGCGATCTTAGAATTGTCAAATTACGCTTCGTACTCTTTTGTTTATTCTGACAGCTTTAGGGACTTGTTAAGACAGAGGTGAGTGCAAGAACGGATTAGTTTGTTGTCGATTGATGAGAAATCCGGTATTGAACGATACTAAGAACGATATTCTATTAGATAGTTGTATAAAAAAAAGTGAGTGCCACTGTGAATGAATAATCAATCTTATCTGCGTTTGTCTTCCACCAGTTAAAAGAACAAATTCTTGATGGTTGATTGCTTTCATGCGATTTTTTTTCCTGTGATTTCAGCTAAACGATTGACTATGAAATCGATGTGGGTCTCAAACGTTGGTGTTCAACGAAGAAAAATTGACGGTAAGTAAACACAATGTTTTATATACTATATTGAAACATTTGTGTTAGCAAATCATTTCATACAAAAGTTATTTGTAATAATATTCATAGAGAAAAAGGTTTTATTTTGCTTTTTTATTTTCTGTTATAGGATAAAAGCAGGAGCGTTTCTCTCCTTTGTTACTAGCTAGTTGAATATTCGAGCTTCATTACAGCAGCGAATCAGTTACTAGCGATACAAATCATCGAGTATTAGTATTGAGCAAAATGAGTGGATATATATATACATATATTACTAGACTAGACCAATGCATACAGCAATACAAATACTAGTCACAAAAATTTGATGACATTTTAATGAATATACATTAATTTCATTTTTTTCAGTTATCCTTTATAGTACAAATAATGTTGCATTATATATTAATATTCATTTATAACTTTTTAAATGCTTTTTTACTGTGAGACTTGAGCATCCTCTCAATGCAAAAGATGAGAACCCAGCGCTTTGACGTTTCTTGGATTAATTTTATTGGTGTATTTTTTTAGATGAAATTTACCAGTTGTTTGATTTAAATAATTTTTCATTACTATTACCTCATAACAGATATTCAAAATGACAACAGAAGCCCTTCAATCAAATATTGATGATCAAGAAGTGAAAAGTGAAGAACCGGTTACATCAACAGCAACAACAACAACGACAGAAGATGCATTACCACAAAACGGCTTTTCAACGACTAATAATAATTCTAATGACTTGACTAGCGTCGATACAACGAGAGCACAATCGCCACCAGTGCATCAGTCACCATCAGAAACACTAGTTAATAAAAATGATTTGGAACCCGAAGCTTTGAGGAAAATCTTCATTGGTGGTTTGAGTTATAAAACTGATGATGAACAGTTTCGCGAGCATTTCGCGAAGTATGGTGATATCTTGGATTGTATCATTATGCGCGACAGAGAGGGCAGAAGCAGAGGTATACAAAAATTTCGCCGATAGATCTTTTTCACTAGCTGTTTTATTTTTGTTTAATAGGCTTTGGTTTTGTTACATATTCAACGTCGGCAATGATCGATAATTTGATGGCAAACAGACCGCATGTATTGGATGGGCGTGAAATTGAACCAAAAAGAGCTGTACCAAGGGAAGAAACAAGCAAACCAGAAAGTGCACTAACAGCAAAAAGTAAGATTGTCTTGGCTCTTAGGGATTCCTTGATGTTGTCATAGTTCTTTGTGTTTATTTCTAAAGAATTGTTCGTTGGTGGAATTCGAGATGGAATAAATGAAACGGATTTAAGTGCGTATTTTACAAAATATGGAAATGTTATTGATTCTGTTGTTATGAAAGACGCGATGGGCAAACAAAGAGGATTTGGCTTTGTTGAATTTGACGAGTAAGTTATCACCATGTAAAGTTTTTGTTTATTTATTTCTGATAAAATATCGTTGATCGAGAAGAAAATAAGAAGAATTCTATCTGTTTTAGTTATGATCCGGTAGATAAAGTTGTTTTGGAAAAACATCATGTTATTAATGGCCAAGTAATCAATGTCGAAAAGGCATTACCCAAAGATCAAACGGGCAAGGGTAGTAGAGGAATGGGAGGAAACCGAAATCGTGGTGGTCCCAATCGCTCTAATTATGGAAACAACGACAGTTACGGTCGAAATACTCGAAATTCATTTGGTGGTGGATATGGTAATCATCAAAATAACAACATGATGGATAGAGGAGGAAATTTTGGCAATCCAAATATGAATAATTTTGGAGGAAATCAACAAGCACCTATCGGTGGCTATGATACTGGTAAGAATATTGTTTAGTCAATAGGATTTAGTTTTTGCTTAATGTTTTTCGAGTCAAATTTTAAGGTTTTCCCAATTAGTGTAGTGACCATTACGTTGAAGTCCAGAGTATCGCTAAGAAACGTTCAAAATATGCCAGATTTTAATCTGAGTAGTTCCACGATGGATTGTTTATCAATCAGAGTATTCTAAATGTTTGTGTTAAAAAAACTTTCATTTTTACACTCACGATAACTAAATATTTTTCTGATTTAGGATTTAGCGCCAGTTTTGGTGCTTTTGGGCAACCGCCAACAGTGGGAATGAATAATACGGGAGATGGTGGCTTTGGTCAACACTATCAAAATGACATGTCTAGCGGACCAAGTAAGTTACACTTCTAGTTCAACATGTCGCTATCATATTTTTTCAATCAATCTTAGCTTACACATACTAATTCATTGTATATTCGAATATTTTAGTGAGAAGAGGAGGTCCAGGTGGAAATCGAGGGTCTCCGTATGGTGGTCCAAATCGTGGTGGTGGCCGAGGACGTGGTGGTCGTTAAATTCGCAATATGTAAATAATCGCACATAGAACCTCATGAAATTTGAACTAGTTTTTTTTCTCATTTTATGAGTTTTGTTCTTCGGGTTTTTTTTGTCAATCTTTGATAAATGGAAACCTTTTTATAGTTGGGTGAGGTTTCCATTTCATGACTGATTGTGGGAAATCTAAAGTCATTTCTTCTGACTATTATGTTGTTGTTGTTTTTATTGTATCCTGTCTTGTTATTAAGCCTAGTTTGCTAATTCATTTTGTTGCTTTTGTGTTCATTTTCTCTTCTTTATCTGTTCTCATAAAAAAACGATTAAACAATGGGTTTGTATTATTTGCAACATAATAAACTACAACAAACAACCAAATTAAAAGCGTACGATTGGTTGCTTGACTTTTGCAATGCGCAACGTTAAATACTGTACTTTTTTTTGCAGTTATTTTATCTCTAAAGCTAGTAAAATATCTAAATAATATAATATAATATAGGTTGGTTCAGATTTTGTTAACTGATATACTCCTAATTTGAGCTTTTCGAAATGCCCAGTGACGATCCTAAAGTTAATGTGTTTCAAGAAAAGTTTAGATTTATTTAACGAGATAATTATGCTTATAAACGTGATTATGAGAGGGGTAGAGACGAGAGTTTTACTGATAAATTAAAATAGCATTAGAGGTTTTGTATAAGTTACACATGTGATGAGAGTCATATATAGTATTATATTTACCAGAGAATAACTAAATAAATACTATTATAATATTAATCTTATATATCTTACTTTAGAAAGTTTGAGTTGTCTAACATTTCCTGTTCTATTGCGCTGTTATATCTTGGTAGTTGGTGAGCATAGACGTCTGAGCTGAAGAAACATGATCAGCGGCACAGAATTGTAAAATTTGTTTTACGCCTTCAATAGCAGTGCGTGAGATGTAAACTGAAATTTTTTTTTAATATACTTTAAAAAAAGTCAAAAATTTTGTTTAATCACCGTTTTTTTGTGTAAAGTAGATTGACAACACTAAAATCTTTTAATATTTTCCGGTTTTTACGCACTCATATCAAAAAAATCATCTTTCTGTCGGCCATAAATTTTGATTGAATAACCTAATTTCAATTTGATATGAGAGATATACTTATTAATATGCTAGAACTCTTTTATGAGTCAAGACAATTTTTTTCCTTACACTGGAAACTATGCAGGTAATTTTTTAAAAAGTTTTCAAACCATTGTTTTATTTCTTCGTCATTTGTGTCTGTGATTTTTTTCATTTCTTCAGATAATTAAACAAACTGTCTGTATTTTTCTAGCAATCTGCATTTCTCACTATATAATTAATAGCTTTCTTCAGAATATATAGTTTGATCTTCTTCCATATAAATATTTTATAGAAAAACTATTGGAATAGTCTCGCACTTTTCCTCATACACATTGAGCACAATTTATTATATATGATTTAACGCGAGAAAGGAGAAAAATATATTTCAGAGCGTATACGATTACTAATCTCATGTTAATAATGCCTCCCTAATTCTCAAAAATAGAAGAGTAATGTGTTATAACTTTGTCGATTGTAATAAAGATTGTCGTGTAGTTAATTAGTTAGAGTTAACGCTTACTCTAAGACTGAATCAAGAATCTCTGGTGTTCTAATTTTGGTAGGAAAATTATTGTTTTTAGACTTCTTTCTGTCTTATTACTGCTGGTTTTCAAATTTTGAACACAGACATAATCAGACAAAAAAGGTAAAACTTTTCGTATAAAAAAATAACACGTTCTAATTTTTTTGAATTCTTTTTCTAATTTTCACCTTTTGAAATCTAACACTCCTGTGACTGATGGAAGCAATGAAAAGCAATTTTATGAGAATTATCTTAATTTAATCTATTTAAACTGTTCATATGCACTTTACACGTTTCATTATCTTAATCGTTGACGAGTGAAGCTTTTCTAACCGGTTTTACAATTAAGTTTTCAGTAATGATCAAGTATCATTTTTTATTTAAAGTCTTAATCTTTTTAGAAGCCGTTTCTAAAATGCTTTTTATTATTATTTGTTTTCTAAATATTATAGAAGAATAATTGAAACTACATTTAAAAATGAAAAACAAACAAACAACCATAAAGAAGCCGTCGTGTTTTTATACATTTCACTGTTATGGGACCTCGCGAAATGATATTTGAGACACAAGCAATTCAGTACGCATACATATTTTTGAGAAAACGTGCAACAATGAGAAAAATGAGAATGACAATGGATGAGTGAACATGTGTGTGGGCGAGGGAAGAACTAGACAATGAGAGGGTGAAAAACGAGAGGGAAAGCGAAGGATACGTAAACAAGGTCCCATAAACATTATTGTTTTCTTCTACACAAAAAACGCCATTCACTATGTTACAATCGATGTCACGCAAACTTAATAAATACACAAATACACAGCTTCAATTTTTCGATAAAAAAACAATACCTTGTCAAACTATAAACTCAAGCTGATATTTACAAAAAAATATTTTGATTTTCGCATAGTTGTAGAAAAAAAAAACGATTACGGTATGTTTTGGCCCAATGCTAAACGATTTCTATGTACACTTAAAAGCGGGATTAATATTGAAGACAAAGAAGAAGCAGGATAAAATAATTTGAAGAATAAATGAAAAACACACTATCTATGAACAACATTAATCAAATTTGTATTGTAAACGATAAATATTTACGCCATCGTCATTGAGGACTTTTGTTAGTACATGGATCCGATCGAATTTTTTTACCAGAATGATATTTATTGTTCAAACTGTTGTTTCCGTTCAATTTTATATCTGACTTTTCGCGTATAATTAGAATATTCATTTAAAATAGATGTAATTCAATTGAGTATTGATGTTCGTTTAACACAAAACTTACTTTTCCTAAAAAAAAGATCAGAAATATTTGTTTTATCTATGCTAACCTGTACATCCACGATTCTTTAAAAAAGTAAAACCAATAGCTGGAATTAACGCAAACTGAATCAATAGGAAATGGAAAGCTGTATGCTAAATTATATAACTGTCTCAATTCTAAGACAAAATTCAGAGTAAAAAAACATGTAGTCGATGTGCCACTTTTTTAATATATAATAGCTAATTTAACGATGTGTCTAATAAACGTGTTCAAGATACTGTAAATAACTTCAAACTAATAAAACTCAGGAAGTTATCCTTAGAATTAATTCCTGCCTGTTATAATCGTAAGTAAGAGTGCGTCAGCGAAACACATGTTTGGATTTAATTGCTGCAAACAATCAGGATAACAAATTTGAGTCTTTTATGCTCATGATATTTAAGAGAAACTTTTCTTTAATTTTACTTACCACTTTAAATTGATTGTGATGTTTCATTATGTGGAAGAGTGGATAAAAAATCTTCTACTATTTTAACCTAACTACCAATAATGGAGCCCAAAACCTCATCCATACCATAAATCATTTAGTTAATAACTGGATCACATGTTTTCTTAAATTTGCCTAGTACCATTACTATAGTCCTAATCTTGTAACGCGGTACAGCTGTACCGGACTATTCTCTTCCACTCGCCTCTTTCTCTTAACTATTTCGACTACTACATAACTGCTCCTCTAAGCATAGAGTTTTGTCTCGCTTTTTATTACTCAAAAAAAAAAAGAAAAAAATATATATAGACGCAACAATTGTTCAGCTTCTTTTTTTTTCTTCTATTTTCTTTTCTTTGTCTCACTCAATAGTTTTCTCTGTGTGTTTAATGAATGTACTTATATTTTTGTAAAAATTATCAATCTCTATCGTGTCGGCGGGCGACCATCATAAACTAGTTTTCGTGTATGCGTGTTGAACATAAAAAATAAATATATAATAAACAGCAGAAAAAAAAGAATGTATCGTTGATATATGCACTTATCATAGCGACCGAGAAAGAAAAAAAATGAGGGTCTATCGTTCAAAAGCTTATTTAAGTAGAAGAAAAGAAAATATAAACCGATTGTTAAAAGTAAACGAAGAAATCCACTAAGATAGATTTTTTTCTCCTTTTTTCTATCCATATTTTGAACCATATAACCCTTCTGTTCTGTCCACGTAACCGGTTTTCGATTATCAAATATGACTATCGGTATGATGATGATAGACTACATAATCAAGAACGAACAAACAAAATGAACAACATAATGATGGATCCCCTCCAAAAAAAAAGAAAACTAAAAGGAAAGAAAAGAAAATCATATAAAAACTGTACAAGTATACGATTACTACTGCACAAGACATGGTCAACTTAAATTTGATTGAACATCAACAGGTCAATGTAGACGTCTAGACATTGTTTCTCTTCTTCTCTTAAACCTATTTAGTGAGAGAAGAGGGAGAGAACATTACAAACCTCATGCCTTGGAAAATGAATGTGCATAAAAAAACACAAAACAATCACACAATCATTAGTCTATTGAGACGAGAGTCAAGAAGTGAATAAGTTTAGAGATGTATGCGGGTGATGACAATAAAAGAAACATATCTAATGGAAGCGCAAAAAATAACAAAAATCATAAATGAAAATATATTCTCAATAGTAATTGGTTTAGACTAAATGAGTGTAATTTGAATGGCATGGGGTGAAATATGACATACGCAAGGATGGTTTTATTAACTGGACTGAACTAAGATTACATTCACCAGAGGATAATCATTCGAATATTGAAATGCTATAGCGAAAATTCAGAAGCGCGAAGTTAAAATATTTTTTTGCTAATTTAGCTCATTGCGACCGGTACACATACACATTTTTTGTGAAGTCAATACGTTCAGTTATGTTCACAGAATACACATAAATATGGTATTAAAATGGACGGTAGGACCTTTGTTTCCATAAATTGCGAAAGCTTCATGTTAATTTGTGTAACTAATACACCAACCTACACTCTAATCATCTCATACCAAAAACATCAAGAAGGTCATCTTCGAGAAAAATTTCAGGTCTCAATGAGTTAAAACAGTAGGACGCTCACGTTCCAGTCCTGACTTTGATTCAGTAAAGGACACGACATCCGTACAACTACAAAAATCTAGTATTTCATATTCAAAACGGAAAAATTTCGTATTTCGATTCAGTAAGAACGACTTCCAAGAAATAGTTTTTATCAAATTCTAATCAATCTGCAACAATGATATATACCTGAAAACCAGCACGCGATGGACAATTTTGGCTAGACACGTGGACATTTGCTATAAAAGCATTACAGAAGACAGAAAAGACACTTTTTGTAGGTTTTATAATGCGCTCTATCCGATGATTTTAGCAAACTACGAAATGTATTTGTTAGGGTTTTCTGGAAATTCGGACTCTCTGCTAGATCCTGTACATAAAATATGTCCATACTGTTCGACATATATATTTTCTGTAGCTTTTCGGATGAGCTAATTTACTTTATGATAGGATCAGAAATTTCCCAAACTTCCTAGTGAGTTTTCTGGAAAACTTAAGTTTTTACAAAACGCTGGAAAATAAAAAATCGTGTATGTACAGGTTTTTCAAAGTTCTTTTTTCAATGCTGTAATCAATAAAATTCTCCAAACTCCTAATTAGTACCACCACCCCTTGGTTTTTGGATGTTGTAAACCCAATCACTAACACTGACGGAGTTTCACTGCATTTCTTGTTTTTCCTGTTTTTTTCACAATTAACGATGAACTTAAAATTTTAATTTTCTTTTTCTTGATTTGTTTATTAGGATTCGAATTTATTCTTCTGCTTGTATCACGTTTTGGAACAATGTATCGTCTTCGTTGGCAGATGTAAGGACGGTTTTTTCTTTTGATTTACTTCTTTTTTTTGTACATGAACTTTGTACAATATAATTTATTACAGGATCACTTTGTATAAACAATCGATTGAAAACATCAATTATATTCTCTAAATGTTCATACTTCCTCCACAAGAACTCTTGAAAGTTTCGCACATCTTTGTTGGCACTCTCCAGCGCTTCTTCATTTAATTCACCAAGACCTACACGATTATTTCTATAAATTAATTCAGCTGAATGGAATATAAGACTATGCACCGTCATAGAATATTCGATCTAATTGAATTCTTTCTCTATAAATGGCAATAGAAATAAAAAAAGTTATACCATTAAATAGCGCATATGCCAATGTATATTTGGCACTATTTGAATCTCAAAAAAACACACTTCCATTTTTCACCTAATGTCCACGTGGTTGTCCGCTTTGCAGCAAATATCATGAGTTGTGTATTTCAAGATCGCTGCACAGATGAAAAAATGTCTTATAAGATCGATCTTGCATAATCTTGTGGCATCTTATTATCACTGGTTTTTGTAACATCTGACCGCTGTATAAAAACTAATAAGATCTTGCGAGATCATACGATAACAAGTCGTATGATGCTGTGAGGTTATGGATCCCTGGTGTAGCATTTTTAAATTTCTTGCCATAAGATCTCACAATATTGTATAAAAATGTATGAAATCTTGTTATTTATTCTTACAAGAACTTGTAAGATCTTTTAAGAAGTGGTGATTCATCATACAGTATGAATTTTGCTACGATAGATGCAGCATTGTTCTTGTGGATAAACTTTAAAATTTTCGTTTTTTTCAGCAGCACACATTAGCCGAGTACAAGAGTCAATGTATAGAATATAACTAAACACGATCCTAGCCCAGCAGAATTATACCTATGCTACTATGCATTTCCGCTTAGCGTTTGTAACGTTCTTGTATATAAAAGTTACAGACAATCGGCGGCATGAAATCCTTCAAGTCTTTCATCTACGGCTCAGCTACCATCTCTAGTTGCTGGTCGATTAAGATGGTTGAAAAACGAAAGTAAGTAAGTAGTTTCACTGTGATAGTAAACGCAAAAACCTAGACGACTTTCAACATTGAGCGAGACTTATGGAAAGAGTTTAAGAAAATTTTGAAAACTAATACTACTTTTCTATGGTTTAGTTATCTTTTGTTTTGTTCAAAAAAATTTTCAAAAAAAGTCTTCCAAACTTTTGACAATACGTCTCGTCAAAAGTCTATGCTGAATACAGAGAAGCACTTTTCCTTAACCGTTAAAGTGCAACCGCAGAGTCTACCTAAGCAAAAAGGTTTTTGGAGTTAGCTTCATCTAGGTAAAAGGGACACATTTGGAACACACTCATTTCGATTTTACCTAGATGAAACTAGCTCCAAAAATTATTTTTTGCTTGAGTACGTACTCAAATTTTAGTTTTGTTTCCACGTTGCTATGATATTGAGTTGTACTACTTAATATCTTAAAGATTTTCACCTATCGTTTTCTCACAACGTAACTTTATCAATCATTTAGCCATGTTTTTAGCGTTCTCTCTCGATCACTTACTCTATTGGTTGGACTTTAGCCACATCTTACGATCTGTCAATTTCGACGATCACTTAAAATCCACGCGCGCAGCAGGGCACAAAAACAAAATAAATACGCGAAGAACATGAGATATATATGATCCGACTTTTAGGATGCAAAAGATTACTTTTCAAGTTTTTGTAGTCATCATAAATGTTGATGATACTTAATGCTCTTATATTTTTGTACAATCGAAAAGTAGAATATAATAAAGCGTCATAAGGTCATTTAATTTCCTATATTTCAAGATAATTCAGTTAATACAGAAGAATGCTTGAAGTAGAAATAACTCAACAACGCTCCATTCATACAACTAAATGGGAGATTGTACTGGGTGAGTGTGAATCAACGATGTAATGAATAAATTGTTTTCATATTTTCGCTTTTATTTATCAGGTATGAATGTTTATCAGGTCATTAAATTGCTGAAGTTGAACGATGATCAAGTCAAATCAGTAACATTAGTTTACAATGATAAAGTAGGCTTAGTTTTTTGATTGTTATATAGTCTATTCTGCACTATATTCTAAGAAAGCCACAGAAAGTTTCTATTAGAAACACCGAATTATCAAAGCTTAGCTTGTTCCGAAATTTTATCATAAAGCATTATTATGTATAAGAAGATGTCATGACTATTTCTCATGCGACTGTTTATTATTATCTTTAGGATCCATTGAGTGCTGATTATACACTGAATTTATCCAACGATAGTATCCTGCTACATTTTGACTCTGTTACTCAACGTCTTAAAGTAAATAAACAAATAAAAATATGATTGTTTGAATTTAAATCTAATCTATTTAATATCTATTATAGTTGATTGAATTATATGACTTGAAAAAAGTTAAATTGAAATATTTGTAAGTATAGTTTTTCATCTATCAACATCTCATGGAATGAAAGTTGAGTTTTTGTGCATTCCTCTTTCGTTGACAATATTGAGAAAGTTTTTCACGATCATAGAAAGTTTTAGTAAACATTCACTGACGATACGATAACAGTGAAATCTAAGCTTCCATACCAGAGGTGCAGAATCTACCTGTGAGATCAGGAAATTTCCCCCGACGGTAAAAGATTATAATAAAATTTCCGGCATGAAACAAAAGAAAAAACAAAACAATGCGATTTTATTGTTGCTAAAACTACTGTTTCTGTTCAATTACACATGTTTGGTTCTGGTATTTTCTTGACGTAAACGTTTTCATACAATTGAGAATAGTTAGTTTTTGAAAAAACATAAAAAAGGAGATAGTCGTTAAAGGCTAACATAATTCTCTGTTTTTCCGAAACCTTAAAAAATTGGGGGGGGGGGGGGGGGGGGGGGGGGGGGGGGGGGGGGGGGGGGGGGGGGGGGGGGGGGGGGGGGGGGGGGGGGGGGGGGGGGGGGGGGGGGGGGGGGGGGGGGGGGGGGGGGG